GAGGAAGGAAGGAAGGAAGGAAGGAAGGAAGGAAGGAAGGAAGGAAATAAATAAAGACATCTGAGCAAACCATGGATGGACAGAAGACATGTCTAGTTTAAGGAAAAGAAGGACCGGGGAGACAGGAGAGCAATTTTCCAATATTTGAGGGTTGCCACAGAGAGGAGAAAGGGGTCAAGCTATTTTCTAAAGCACCCAAAGGCCAGACAAGGAATAATGGATGGAAACTAAACAAGGAGAGATTCAACCTGGAAATAAGGAGAAACTTTCTGACAATGAGAACAATCAACCCATGGAACAGAAGTTGCCCTCAGAAGTTGTGGGAGCTTCATCACTTGAGACTTTCAAGAAATGACTGGACTGCCATCTGTCAGAAATGGTGTAGGGTCTACTGCTTGAGCAGGAGGTTGGACTAGATGACCTACAAGGTTCCTCCCAACTCTGATTATCGGTTACATTATCTGTTACAACTCAACTTAGAAAGTGCCTTGCTTAGTTAGCAATACCCCATGCGACTTATATGCTGCTTCATGGTGCTTTTTACAGCCCTCTCTGAGTGGTTTACAGAGCCAGCCTCTTGCCCCTCCCCCCGCCAAACAATCTGGGTCCTCATTTGACCGACCTGGGAAGGATGGAAGGCCGAGTCAACCTTGAGCTGGTGAGACTCAAACTCCAGACTGTGGGCGGAGTCAGCCTGCAATCCTGCATTCTAACCACGGCACCAGCAGCAGCAGCAGCGATTCTAGTCCTGATCGTAGTCGTAAGTCGCTAGGCGTTGCGCCCACCCCTCTCTCCCCTCCACCCACTTTGAAGAGCAATCCAACCCCGCTCAAAAGCCAGCAGGATGGCCCAGGGTCTCCCGTGTGAGCAGGGGGGGGTTGGACTAGAAGACACCCAAGGTCCCTTCTGACCCTGTTATTCGGGTCTCCCTCAGCTTGCCGGCGCTCAGCCTGACTCACCTGTGCCGTGAGGATGAGCTCGGTGATGATGTGACCTGCGTGCTGGCATCGGTCAGGGAGGCCCATGACCTGGGCAATTCTTTCTGGGCTGATACCGTCATCTGGAGGAGAAAGCGAGGGAAGAGCCCAGTGAAGCAACAACAGAAGGAAGGCAGAGAGAGAGAGACAGAGATAGAGAGATAGAGAGATAGAGAGATAGATAGATAGAGAGAGAGAGAGAGAGGCCACAGTTCCCCATACCTGGTTTAGAACATCTCTTGGGCACCAGGGAAACAAATTTCCCATGGAGGCAGGTTGGGGGGGGCACAGGTCTAGGGGTCCCCCACCAGAAACCTGGGTCAGACCGCCGAAAGAAAACAAACCTGGTTTAAACTGAATCCTAACCCCGGCGTCGTTCTGAATCTTCTTGATCATTTCGCCGTTTCTTCCTATTACGATCCCCACGGCGAATCTGGGCACAGAGACCTGCAGAGAGGAAGGGTATTCTAGTGAGGAGGGGGGCTCTGGACACAAACCACCACTCAAATTTGAACCGAGTCCCAGAAACCAAGGTGGGGATTTTGTCTCAGGCCAAGGCCGGAGGTCACCTTTTCATCCCCTCGTTGCGCTTTGCGTGGAGACCAGGAAAGGGAGCTGAACACGGGGGCTTGTGGCCAGAGAGGCGAAGGTTTTAGAACTGGGTTTAGGAACGGCCGTTTGTCTGGAATGGAAGAGGGTCTCCTGCCTGAGCAAGAGGGGTTGGACTAGAAGATCTCCAAGGTCCCTTCAGACCCTGTCATTCTAGGTTCTAAAATGCGTTTGATGTAGCCAAAAGGGGGAGGGAAAAAAATTTCTCGTTTTCCTGCTATGAAGCGAGAAGATTCACACAACCACGTACCTCTATGCTCCGTCCCATTCGGGATGTAAAATCGTTGCGTAGGCCCCGGAAGTCGGCCTGGTCTTTTTCTCGGATAATCTCCAATACCATCTCCTGGGCTTGCTAGAGGGTTCCGAAGGGAGAAAAAGAGATCCGTGTTAATGAAAGGGTTGGGGAAGGGGGTTAACACACCTGGGTTTGGGTCTCCCAGGACGAGGGCCTGGAAAGCAGGATGAGGCTCTTCGGCGCTACAACTCACGGCCTCCCACTTTCTAGCCCGGCCCCTTCACCAAACGGGCTCCTGAATTGCTAGGATTTTGAGTGAAAGCTTGCAAAAATGTGGCGTTTGTGGAAACGCGTGGCTTGGTCTGTATCTTAACAGATTCTTAATTTGTCTTCTATTCTTGACTCTTGACGAATGTCTCTTTTCTTTTATGTACACTGAGAGCATTTGCACCAAAGACCAATCACACTTGGCCAATAAAAGAATTCTCTTCTCTTCTCTTCTCTTCTCTTCTCTTCTCTTCTCTTCTCTTCTCTTCCCTTCCCTTCCCTTCCCTTCCCTTCCCTTCCCTTCCCTTCCCTTCTCTTGTATTCCTTATTCTACTATTCCATTCCATTCCATTCCATTCCATTTTCTTTTCTTTTCTTTTCTTTTCTTTTCTTCTTTTCTTTTCTTTTCTTCTATTCTATTCTATTCTATTCTATTCTATTCTAACAACTCTCAATTTGGTCAGAAGGTAGAAAGTTATTAATGTAAAAAGAAAGAAGAGGGAGGGGGGGGGGGAAAAACCACACCAGAAAAATAATATCAAGCTAACACAGAAATACCTACACAGACATAGACACACACACACTTCTCTTTCTCTCTCTCTTTCTCTCTCTCTCTCTCTGGGTTATTATTCCAAATTCTCACCCAACTGTCTCTCTTTTTTTTAATCAGCACAGACTGACGAATCCTCTCCAATACACACCTGTACTTTAAAAGCATCTCCCGTAATCCGAAGAGGTTTATCTGCTCCGGTCGGTAAAGGGCCATCTTGGATCATGATCATTTTCACACCGGTTCGTTCCTACATATGTGACGCACAGATAACGGGAGAGAGGGAGAGAGAGAGAGAGAGAGAGAGAGAGAAAACTACAAAAATGAAACATGCAAAACAAAAACAAAAAACAAACAAACCCACTCCACCTGCAAAACCTGCTTGAAGGCTATGAAGATAAGACAAGGGGAGGAGGAAGGGGAGGGGAGGAACTGCGATGGAAGGAACTGAGAAAAAGTGTCATTTTAATAAACAGGTAGTCCTTGACTTACGACAGTTGATGGACTGACCGTTCGAAGTCACAACGGCACTGGGGAAAAAAAGGGGGGACTTTTTTCACACTTCAGGGCAACTGCATCATCCCCAGGGCCGCGTGATTTATATTCGGACCCTTGACAATCGACTCCGCATTTATGACAGTTGTGATCCCCTTTTGCGACCTTCTGACCAGCCAAGTCCATTGGCGGGGGGGAGCCAGATTTGCTTAACAACCGGGCGACTCGCGCAAGAAACGCGGCAAGCAACGCTGTAAAATGGGGCAGAGCTCGCTTAAGGTCATTTCTCAACCTCAATTATGGAGCTCCATTGTGGTCGTAGGTCGAGGACTGACTGTACTGGGAAGGAGACCTTCTCTCAGTCGGTCAAAAATTTCAGAAAAATGACCCACTTGAACCTCCCCCCAAGCAAAAAAGAATCTATTTCTTTATATATTCATTTTAAAAAATAACAACAACAGTTCGATCATCTATGCTGCTTATTATATACAGCATTCATTTAGTGACCGTTGGAAGATACGACGGCTTTGAAAAATGAGAGACAGCATGAGCGTTTTTCACACTTACGACCGCTGTAGCGCAACCCCTGCGGTCAAAAATCCAGACCTTTGGCAACGGGCTCCTCTTTTTTGTGATTTCACTTAATCAAGCGTGGCGAGAAAGGTCGTAAGAGGGGCAAAATTCACTTCACAGCTGTCTGGCTCAGCGACAGGGCCCCCCTGAGGCTGTAACTCAAGGACTGTGACCCTTCAGACGGCAGGGGAGGGAGGGAAGTGGGTGGAGAGAGAAGGGGAGGCAGGGGGGTCAACCGCCGTGCGCACCTGCAATTGTTTTATCGTTTCGCCACCTTTCCCGATGACCAGGCCCACTTTGGAGGCTGGAATGAGGACTTCTTGTACTGTGTTGTTGCCGTCCACGTCGTTGTGAAAGCCGGACCCATTCCTACAACGATCTACGATGTGGCCCAGGAGTCGTTTCGCTTGTCTTTGGGAGGGGGAGGAGGGGGGGGGGTGGGAACGACGGACAAAAACAGGGACGAGGGGAGGGAGGGAAGGGGGGGGGGATAAAAAAGAGAGAGAGAGAGAGAAAAAAAAATCCTCAAGGAAATCAGCTAGCAAATTGCACCCACTTCCCACCTTGTCTGGGTCTAAAAGGGAACGCAGGACGTTTCTTTTTGGCGGGGAGAAAAAGAAAAAAAGAAAGAGAAATGGAAGGGCAGGCAGTCCTTGACTTATAACGGTTCGTTTAACGACCAAAGTCGCAACGGCATTGGAAAAAAAAAAGTGACCTGGGACCAGTTTTTTCACACTTATGACCGTTGCGGTCAGCATCCCCCTGGTCACGTGATTAAAACTCAAGAGGCTTGGCAAACCGACTCCTAGTTGTGACGGTCGCACCGACTCCTCCTTTTGGCGACCATCTGACAAAGCAAAGCCCATGGGGGGGAGCCGGTTTCGCTTAACAACCGGGCGAGTAACTTATCCATTGCAGCGATTGGCTTAATGAACCGTGGCCAGAAAAGGTAGCAAAATGCGGCAGAACTCGCTTAAATGTCTCGCTTGCCAACTGAAACGATTGCGGTCGTTAAGTCGAGGACTACCTGTGGCTTTGACCTGTTGCAACAATCCTGGATTTTGGGGTGGGAAATAACCGCTTCTGGGTGTTGTTGTCAAGGTGACCGTTGTGTTAAACCAGCCGTTAACAAGGTCTGCTTTTCACTGCTTGGAAAGTGGCTTTTCTCCACTCCACCCAACCCCCTGTCCCCCCCCAAGAAAAGTGTCAAGTTCACCCTCTAGACCAGAGGTGGGAAACTATGGGCCTTTTAGGGCTTGTGGACTCCAACTCCCAGGATTCCTGAGCCATGTGGGACATTCACAGCACACCTTCAAAGCATTTAGAAAGGGACAAACAATCCTCCATCTAGGCTGGCTGGCAATCTTGAGATATTCCAGCTTCGTACGAAGTTGAAACTCTTCCTGATGTCTTCTCAGACTCTTTTTCTGAACATCTGGAGCTTTGATCACCTCACCGGGACTCTCACTCAAAGGCCACAAAGTCATACAAATCCCCTCTGGTGGCCTCTATTAGTCAGTTGGGGACTCAGGACAAAAGACGCCACTGATTCAAAAGTGTCTTCAACCACAATCTTCACAGCCTCCTCTTCTAGAGTGTCGAAACCATGGTGATGGCTGGAAGCCCTGGCTACACCAGTTGTCCAACCGGCAAGCTACTGATGATACAGCACCTCAACAAGCCAACTTTTGTAGGGTCCTTGATGCTCTCTCTGTTTGACTGCTAAGAGCTTGGTTGCTTTCTTGTAGACGTTTCATAAATCCAGTCATGTAACATCGTCGGTGCAGGAAGGGACCTCTTTTCTACCTAGTGCTACCTTCCAGAACTGATGATGTTACCTACTTGGGTCATGAAACATCTGCAAGAAAAGGGAACACCAAGGACCCCACCGTTCAACAAATACTCTCTTCTTTTTCCTGCCAATTCGGGTGAATAATGGCCAAAGCAAAGAAAACCCACTCACTTAGATGCGAAGAAAGTTTTAAACAGGTAAGAGGCAGGGCCCAATTCAAATGCATGCACACATCCACCCCAGTCTTCAAATCATGCAGCTTTGGGGGGGGGGGAACCCCATCCACTTATCAGAAGATGAAGTCAAGAGTTGAGGAGAACCCAGCCAGGACAAAACCTCAATCCAAAGTTCCTCTAAGATGGCACCAAGCTGTTATATTTATTGTGCCTTGGTGTGTATAGATTTCCCCACCCTAAGGCTGAACTTCAAAAAAAAAATGGAACCAGATCAATGTCAATTGAAAGAAAGAGGAAGAAAGAAAGAAAGAAAAAAAAGAAAGAAAAGAAAAGAAAGAAAGAGAGAGAGAGAGAGAAAGAAAAAGAAAAGAAAAGACTCTACTTCTCAAAATGTCCAGGGTTTATTTAACATTTGTTAATCACCCAATGTAATTTAATTTCAAATTAAAAAAAGATTCCCACAGATGGATTTGGAAAAAACCCACCTACCCAAAGGCTGGGGGAGTGGGAGAGCAGGTCCATATTGTTAAGTGGGCTCCTGTAAGCCTGAGGCCCGTGGTTCCAGCGGGAAGAGCTCCTTGGGACTCAGCTCCTGAGAAGGGGGGAGGGAGGAAATACTGTCCCTAAAGTTTCTAGGAGGGCGTGAGAGAACAGAGATTTTCCCACACACACACACACACACACCCTCCCTTGCTGGGCTGCCAAGGGGAAGGGGTGCAGGGAAGGACGAGGAAGAGGGCAGCCGCGCAACTCTGCAGTCGGTCAGGGTTCACCCCCTCCCCAAACGAGTGGTCGGGGAAAATTGATTGGCATGCATCAGTTAAACGCAAGGGGGGGGGGGGGGGTGTGTATAAAAAGAAAAATCTGGGTTGCAGGAGAAATGGCCGGATCACCTCTGCTGCCGAAGATGACTTTCTCCAGACTCCCTTTCAAGGAAGGAAGGAAGGAAGGAAAGAGGGAGTTGAGGACCCTCAAGAATTGGAAAGCCACCCCTTTAATCTCCGATGGGCTATCCGATTGGGAAGGGTTCCTGCCCACCCTCATCTCGGGTGGCTTCCCACAAGGCCCACCACTCCTTTTGTAGCAGCTCTTAGCACGGTCTCCCCAACAGGGCGTGGCGCTTTTCACAAAAAAGGGATGGAGAAATCACGAAACGCTCGGGAGAGAACGGACTTCACGGACTTTCCCTTCGGCGGCCTTTTATTCCTTCTAGGCGTCAATGGAAGACGACTGGCGAGCTCTACCTTCATGAGAACTACGTCCTTCAAGATCTGGAGCTTCTTCCTGACCCTTATCCTACCAGGTTCTCGTGCAAAGGATGGAGGCTTCGTGGAGAGATTGAAGGAGGGGATTGGGGGCAATTAAAAACAAAACAAAAAAATGGGTGGTGGTAAGAGGGTGGGCCTTAGAACAGGACTCTCTCACAAAAGCCACCTTTCTCACTCTGGTGATCTTCTCCAAACAACTAAATCAGGGCAGTGTAAAATTTGGTTTATAGACAAAGGAAGGAAGCAGATTTATTCTCCAGGCGTCCTACGGGGCATAAATATTCCCTGAGATTAAAACAAAAACAAAAAAACACGAACGGTTGATTATCCTTGTGGCCTATTTTTGCAAATCTGATGGCTTGGAGGGATTAAACCTTTTTTTTTTTTTTCAGTTCTTCGCATCAAACCACCCTCAGCACAAAGTGAGCTCAGGGATACATTTATATATATATATATACAGGACTCGAAGGAGGTTGCGGGACGGAAAAAGGGACTAAGAGGAAATTCTCGACGGGCAAAACTGCTTTTAGCTGTAAGAAAAAGGTTGGAAGGCTGGCAAGCAGGCGATAGCTTGTCTCGAGGCGGTGCGGAGAAAAGGAATAAAAAGCAGATCAGGGGAGAACCAAAAAGAAGAAAGGATAGAGGACAGAGGTGAGGGGGGGAAGGGGTTGAAAAGAAATCACAGAGATTGGCTTTACTAATCGCTTACTCGATGCTCTCTGGCGATCCGGTCAGCATGCAAGGCCTTTCTGCCATCCCACCGCTGTCTGCCAAGACAATAAGGAAGAAAAAAACGTCAGTGGATCCTGTCCGTCCTCCTGCAGTGCTTTCTGTTTAGAAACGTAAACCGTGGCCTCTAGGGCTGGAAGGGACCTTGGAGGTCTTCTAGTCCGACCCCCTGCTCAAGCAGGAGATACCCTATATCCATTTCAGACAAATGCTTGTCCAATCTCTTCTTGGAAACCTCCAGTGTAGGAGCACCGACAAGTTCTGGTGGCAAGTCGTTCCACTGGTTAAATGTTCTCTCGCTTGTCAGGACATTTCTCCTTAGTACTAGGCTGGATCTCTCAGGCTAAAGGACACCTCTTTCCTAACGGCAAATTCAAATTATGTGGCCAAATTCAACTTTCAGGGCCTCCCCCGTTTAATGCCCACTGCCTTGCAACGCACCTGAGACTAGACTCTGTGCGAACTGGTCAGTTAAAAGGTCCACAGAAAGAATGGAAATGCTTAGATATTCTTAGCCAGCAGGTGCTCAGGTGAGGGAAGCGCCATGGTAAGCCACAGAACATGGTTTATAAACCCCAATGCCTGGCTCCACGCCCTACAAACTCAACCAGAAGCCCTACAATCATGCGAGTGACTTTCTCTAAATAAGGGAACGGATTGGAGCAAAAAAAATAAACAAATGACGGTTTACCCCCGCTTCTCCAGAACTCCTTACCTGATGCTATCTGAATTTTGCACCCTGATTCTGCCTGAATCCGGGAGATTTGCTCACCGCCCCTGCCGATAACTGCAAAAAAAAATAAAACCAACATCAGGAGGTGTCTACTCATAGAACGGAAACCTTAAGAATGGAGGGCTGGAAGGGGCACCTCAGAGGTCTTCTATCCAATCCCCTTGCTCGAGGCAGATCTTACACCACCCCAGTCAAAAGGTTATCCAATCTCTTTTTGAAAACCTCCAGTGATAGAACATCCACAACTTCTGTAGGCAAGTTGTTCCACCGATTAATAGTTCTAACTGTCAGAAAATCTCTCCTTAGTTCTAGGTCAACTCTCCTTGATTAGTTTCCACCCATTGCTTCTTGCTCTGCCTTCAGGGGCTTTGGAGAATAGCCTGACCCCGCCCCCCTCTTCTTTGGGGCAGCCCCTGAGTTTGACCCCCTTTTCCTCTCAAATATTGGAAGACAGCTCTCATGTCACCCTTAGTCTTCCTCCTCGTCAGGTTAGACATACTCAGTTCCCTCAACCATTCGTTTTGTACGTGTCTCTGGAGAGTCTGAATTTTGATCGTGTGACCATGGGGATGGCTGAAATAGTCCCAAGTGTGAAAAAACGGTCATAAGTCGGGTTGTTTTTTTTCAGAGTCGTTAAGTGAACTGTCAGATTTCTGCAACCGACAGAAAGCTTATTCTCAAGAGATTTGAGACTTTTTTCGCCCCACGGTTTTCACCCCGCAATTGCAACCTCAGCGAGAGGTTAATGGCTCCGACCAAATGAGGCTGGGGTCTCTACTGGAAATGCAAACCGAATCACACCTGTGAAAAAAAAAGAGTGTTGAATGCCCCCTCCTCAGCAAATACTTACTGAATCCAACCATTTTGTCAGGCACTTTGAAATCTTCGGTTATTACTGCCCTGAAGAGAACAGGAAAGAAAATTCATCATCTTTTCTGTTTAAGGGAGGGGGTAAATCAGATTTAGACTCCAGGAATTATGATGGGGATCAGCTCAAGCACCTGGGAAACCATACAAGAACACACACACACACACACCCCGATGCAAACAGAAGGAACAGGTTTGGTTATCATTGTGATCGTTCTTGGTTTGGGGAGGGGACCTGGGGTCTGGATCAAGCTGGTTAGGGTTTCTAGCACCTCGACATAACTAGAGGACTTGCCCAAGCTATGGCGCAGAAGTGATGAAAATAGGTAAATTAAAACCCCTGCTTATGAAGCTGTTTTCAGTTGAAACTTCCATCGTAATTCCCAACACGGGTTTAAAACTCGGCCCAGTTAACTCATTTTTATCTATATATCATTAGCTACAGAAGAGGTGGAGCCCAGAGAGGAATGAATTATCCTGGAATCTTTATGTTGTCACAAACGGTCCAGCCTCTCCTGAATTCTGTTAACTGTTATCAAGTGCCAATTTTTAGCACCTACTAATGGACCTATCTGGGCCTAATCTAGCCCATCTCCTCTTAAAAGAATAACAAGAGTTAGAAGGGGCCTTGGAGGTCTTCTAGTCCAACCACCTGCTTATACCATTCCACACAAATGGATGTCCAGTCTCTCCTTAAAAACCTCCCTTTAAAAACCTGGCTTTGTCCCCAGGCCTTGGGTCAGAGTGGGCTATGTATCACTTAAGTGATGTTTTAGTTTTTTAATTGATTTTTGAGTTTTTAATTTAATTTTTCCTGGACATTTTTTCTTCTTCTGGTGACACAATTCATCGCTCAGAAATAAATAAATGAATAGCCAACTAAATAACATTTAAAAATAGATAGGGGGTGACTTTTCTACTGTGATTTTTAGGCATGGTGCCTTAACCGACAGACCAAACGGGCTCCATTCCTTCCTATGAATTTATTTATTTTTTTGTGGGAAACTGGCAAAAATGCCATAAATCACATAAAAATGAGCCAATTGCCAAGCGTCCCAAATTGTTTCTATGTGTATTGCTGCCAGAACTCCAGAACCAGGTCATAAATACCCTTTTGGAGGGGGAGGGGTATCTGTCATAACTCCGGTCATTAAGCGAGGACTTCTCTGTCTCCTTTTAATCTATCTAATATTGTCTTCCCCTTCTTCAAATCTCACCCAAGCCTCTGGTTTTTCCCCCCCCCCACTTCATCACTCAGCAGCATCACGTAAATATTTATGAACCGTGAGCCTCTTCTGTGTGAATACACCCCAAATCTCCCTTTTTCCCCTCCTATAGCTCTCTCCCCCCCAAAATAAAAAAAAACAAAAATACAATATTCTGAAGCAACAAGGGTTTTGGAGATGGAAACCGCTCCGCTGTTTCGCTGCGCTCACAACCTCCTGACTCTGTAAAGACTCCGGTACAGATGGCAGATCAATAAACAATTACGTGTGATCGATAAATAATAAAACGTAACCCACGGCTTACCTTTGATGTACCAGGGCTCCTAACTGGTTACCTACTGTGGCAGAGAAGAGAGAGAAAAGGGGAGAGAGGAAAAAAATAAATCAAAGCATTAGCATGGATAAACTAACTTCATCCGGCCCTTTTCATCGGGGAGAAGAGAAAAGCAGAGCGGGGGTAAGGAAACACCCCCCCCACCCCACCCCCCCAGCAATTTGGGTTCAGTGACTGAAATGAATGCCTGCCGCGGGATGGAAAAACAGCCGGGGCAGAAAGCGTCCAGCTGAACACAGGATAGGAAATTGATCTACCTCTCTTCCATGCTGTGACGCATGGGAGAAAGACTCACCCCTCCTTCTACCCCGCTGCACAAATCCCTAGAAAGGTTCTTCCTTGTGCCTTTGGGATTTCTGCCCCACTTCCCCCAGCCCCCCCCCCCCCCCAAAAAAGGAAAGCCGATATTAAAAAGATCAAGTGGTGGGCGTTAAAAAAACAATAAAACAACAAAAAAAGGAGACTTGGAGAGTTTTAAGTCAAATCAAAATTAAAAGTATTTGGAGAGAAAGAGAGAGACATACAAACATACTTCTGGGGTTGTCTCTTATCTGCGATCCATGAAGCCAGTTTACACGGAGACCTGTTAAAGAGAGAGGGCGGTCAAAGGACGATCCATCGTCAAATTGAAGAAGATATGGTCAAATTTCTGTCCACCTAAAATGGCCTGGAAGCTTCTACTGAAGCTTTTGGTCAAATAACTTTCTGTCATTATGTTGAAGTTATGGTCAAATTTCTGCTCAAGATGTCCACCTAAGATGGCCTG